GTATTTTTTTCTATAAAAATGTAGCTAAATGTCGCTAACAAAGCAGTAATTGATGCTGTTATTGATGGAGCTTAGGGTTGTAGTACATCCTTCAGTTGAAAGGGCACTTATAATTAACTCAGAAATCTGTGAGGGGAGCAGAGACAGCTGCTGGGTAGTGTTGAGCATGAATCGTTTTCCAAATTATTCCTCTCACGTTGCCATGTTGTGATACTCGAAACAAATATGTAATGTAGGAATGTAGATTGTCAGTGTTACTCTCCATCCATAATATTAGTGTTGACCGTCTCATCATCACTTGATTTCATCATGTGTTACATAATGTTTAAAAGGTCAGCTGGCAGCAGGGCTCTCAGTGATGACATCACAAACCCCGTGTTCCAGTGCTATTATACACATTTTGGCCTCAGGATGTGGATAACAGTGTTGGACAAATGAATGGCCTCTTGAGAATTACGCTTATCTTAACAGTCTTTTAGCATCATCAGACTGTCTGGGATTTTCTGATTCCTTGTCAGAGCCATTTTTGGCAATACCCCTGGAAATAGTAGTACTATGATGTGACCTTATGCATGACTTGAACACAGTGACTGCAGTGTGTCTGTGTTTGACTTCTTTTCCTATATTTGCAGCTGGTACTTTGGTAAACTGGGCCGCAAGGATGCAGAGAGGCAGCTACTGTCTACTGGCAACCCTCGAGGCACCTATCTCATCCGAGAAAGTGAAACCACAAAGGGTAAAAAAAACAACACAGACACACTGACACACATCGACCTGTAAGTGTGTGTGTTTATGCCATGACAGATTTACTACTTAGGAGTAAGAAGTGTTCACAGCTGCCTGATGGTGTAATTACAAGTAGAACGCATGGAGTATTTTCTAAGCTCTCATATTTCCCATAAGACTTTTGTAGTAAAAGTGTAGTGTGATAGCCTCTGCTTTTTGAATAGCACCAGAACTGGATGGGTAGAAGTGAGTACTGAAGTGTTGAATGGGAACTTGGTGTTCAGTGATTCGAACTTCCTGGTCTGTCTTCCTCAGGTGCCTTTTCCTTATCCATACGGGACTGGGATGATCTCAAGGGCGACCACGTCAAGCATTATAAGATCCGCAAGCTAGACAGCGGCGGCTACTACATCACTACCAGGGCTCAGTTTGAAACACTGCAGCAGCTGGTTCAGCACTATTCAGGTAAAATACAAAGATTCTATAATTTGTCGTGTTCTGTAAACTTGTAACTATTTTTGTTTGTTGTGTATTTAAGGTCCACTTAAAAAAAAAAGGTAGCTTTGCAGTTTGTTCTTGTAAATGTGTGACTGTTCAGTTTGAATGATTTTAGATTGTAATTGCTTCTTCCACATGAGCCACAACAGTGTTCAGTGCCGTTTTGGTTGAATGTCATTAAAGCTGATGGAGAGGTGGAGAATGGCTAAAGGAAGAGTCTGTGCAGGTGTAGAGCTCTTTGTTTCAGAAAACGTTGAATATGAGCCATTGTCATTATTTATTCAAGTAAATTTGAAGAATTTTAAAATATTCTCATTCTGGTCTGTTTGGATTTTCTCCTGTTTCTTAGGACAAAATATAACATGAGATAATACAATATGGTTTTATATGTTTGTAGAGGTATAGGGCTAAGTTTGTGTGTTAATCCTTATATATTTATATATTTAAAGTATATATACTTATATATTTAGTATTTAAAAGTAGAATGGGAGGCAGAGCCTTTAGTTTTCCGGCCCCTCTTCTGTGGAACCAGCTTAATTCAGGAGACAGACACTATCTGTCTCCCGCTTCAAAGTTTCCTTTTTGCTAAAGCATATAGTTAGGGCTGGATCAGGTGACCCTGAATCCTCCCTTAATTATGCTGCAGTAGGTGTAGGCTGCTGGATGATTCCCATGATCTTCAGTCACCTTTCTGACTCACTATGTGTTAAATAATATTCATAATATTCTAATATTATCTAATATATCTAATATTCTAAACTCTACACTTACAGTACAATGCTTCCACTAAAGCTATTAGTTTTCCCTTTTTTCATATAGATGTATATATGCTGTTAAAAGCTTATGTTTAAGATGGACAACCAGTCAGTCAGTCAGTCTAAATGGAGAGGGAACAGAGCTAAAACAGCCTCACTAATGCCGAGTGTAAGATAATAAGAATCAATTTGAACCTAGAAAACCAACCAAATAAAATAGGTTGATCTTAACAAAAACCGTCCAGTTTTAAATGTGTTTATCCTTTTTACATGCTCCACTTGTCCACCAGGTTTTAGGAAATTCAACTTGGTACTTTCTGCTTCAGTCCAGGTAGACAGGAATGGTCACATAAATTTAAGTTCATTTCAGATAATAATCTGGTAATATTTAATGCTGTACTGGGAAATGCTGAATGTATGATGCAGATGTCAAGAAAGTGCATCGCTGGCCTGAAAACAAGCAGATCAAACGGGAGAAATGCCTTTCCAGACAGACGTTGCCGTAGAGAGATTTGTCGGTGGATGCAGAGCACTGACACTGTGACCCCATTTTCACAAGCCCCAATAGGAAAGTGTTTTGTGTGGTGTCCGTTTCTGTGAATTGATCGAACATGCATTAAGCAAACACTGTTACGCTGTTATTGCATTTTCACATACAGGAATAGAAGATGACTCGTACTGTGAGACACAAAGACATGGCCTGTGTTGGAATACCTGCTAGTTTGTGTCTCACGTGCAACTGGATTCACATTAATTTTTAATGCAGCAAACAAGAGGCCACAGAGAGAGCACTCTGACACCCTGAAGAGCCACTGTGAGCCCATCCTGGTGTTCATATTGAGCTTATTGGAGACACTCCAATAAGGACATCCCACTGGTGCACTGACACATATATGTTTTGCTTATTACTTGTTAACACGGATTCTGTTTTTCAGCATTTTCTCACTGTCTCACTTCTACTTGTACTTCTTTGAAAGCGTGCTCATTTGTTGTGTTTGATCTCTCTCATTCTGCGTCCCTTTGACTAAGAACGGTGGTTTTCCAGTCACGCTCCAGTTGTCATTGACATATTGATCTCTTGAAGTCCTAAAATCAGTGCCATGGATTTTCTGTATGCGTTAGCGTCATGGCACATTAACTGTCCGTCCTGCACTTTATCGCCACTCTAAATGGCATATGGAGCACACCTTTGCAAATAACCTTGACTCTTTGCAGGGCTTATGCTTTTGTTGCTTTCTGCTTTGCGCTATTTTACATGTTGCTGAAGAGCCGAGGAGCATATCGGGCATCGTAGAGCGTTGTTCTGTTCTTCGCATCACCTGCAGGGGTCAGAAAGCAATAACTCTTGGCTGCTAATCTGGCCAAATTCACTAACAGGCTGAGAATCAAACCTAGCATTTCTGCTAGTCACGAGAGAGAAAATTAGAAGCTGCACGTGATCAAATAAAATAGTCAGTTTCAAGGAGTACTGAGTTTTGTTTGTTGTTTTGTTTTTAATTTTTATCGTTTTGCATTTTTAGTTATAGAAATCCGATTCCTTAAGTGTGTTTTTACAAATAAATGGCTGCTGTTCATGATGATGCTTTTGCTTTTTGCATCCCACTGATGTCAAGATTACTCTCTGGTCTTTACCTTATAAGGTCAAATGCCTTCTTGTGAATTGGTACCATATAAATAACGTTTTATTAAAATGCATTGATAGAATCAGTGGCTTCAGTGGAACAAATTACAGTAGGAGTGTTGTTACCTGCTCTCACTCATTCACATTCTGGTTGCGTAATAATGTCTTTAAAGGCAACTGACCCAAGAGAAGACCAAGAAACAATCCTCTGAAATGATTTATTGCGATTATAAAACGGTTAACAAGCTAGCCCTGTCTACTTTTATATTCTGTTTATTTATTTTTTTCGTGATAAATTGATTTGATAAGGCACTGAATGGATTTGTGTACGATCCTACCATCATTCTACCAAAACCAGGTGTTGGGAATTGCTCAGGTTTGTAATTGATTAGAGAGCAGAACATAAGCTTTAATAACTGTCAGCAATAACACATTTATGAGCAGGCAAAATCGAGTTCAGCAGCATCACAAAGACTAACTTGGTCTTCAAAATAAAATGAGCTTTCCACACTTTTAAGCCGCCACCTCTTTCTGTGAAACATCCTCTGCTTCTGTGTTTTCTCCGTGGAGACGGTGCACATATTGACAGCTTTTATGACAGTCAGTGGAGAATACACAGAGCCGTATTGATGTTTGAGCGGAGCAGCTGTGGCAGCAGGCAGGTGGCCCAGATGGGCTTTGATGGCCGTGTTCCAGGTTTAACACTCCTGTGGGTGAGACGCGGGCCTTTATCTCATCTTTACTGCCCTGTGCAAACACCCTGGGGTCTTACCAGTGACCGTGAGTATAAAACCAAGGGTCACTTTATCATTGCTGTCAAGGCAATATCTAAATATCAGTGTGAGGATGCCTGCGGAAACTCTGACCTAATCCACTGGCTTAATCAGTCGGGGGCAAACATGAGACTTCCTTCAGAGTATAAGAAAGAATGATTTGAACGAGCACATAGATGTCGTGGTGTTATCAGCTAAAGTGACAGCAAACAGGCCTAATCTAAATGGAAAGGGCACTCATCGTCCTAAACAAGTATGGTCGATAATGCTTTTCATAGTACACAAAGTACCTATGATTTAACGTTACATAACTATAAATATATACATTTTCCCGTGCAGCTATCTCTTTACGTAAATGGCCATTGTTATCGTAAACCGTGTGCACGTCGCCATGCCCTTAGCCACAGGGAGCCTTTAGAG